ATATGTAACATTGTTTGGTTATTGAGAGGACGTGATCGACTCAATATCTCCTCACATCTCCACTTATTCTTAATTGGGATTCGTGGTAGCCTCATGTGAGATATCTGTGCATAACGGACCAAGGCACCTGTCATACACAACTTTAAGTACAAGAACCTTTAGAACAGAATATTTTGAGCGGCAAAAAAGGATACTCAGATTTATTATTAATTTTGAAAACGGTTTTTATCATCATGTTGAAAAGTAAAATTATAAGAAAAACAAGATATCAGGCACGATAGACAAACAGTTTTGGCACAATTTTAATAATACCCTTCCATCAATTGACAGGTACTTTATTCGGAGGTACAAGTCTTATCCAGGTTCTTTATTCGGAGGTACAAGTCTTATCCAGGTTCTTTATTCGGAGGTACAAGTCTTATCCAGGTTCTTTATTCGGAGGTACAAGTCTTATCCAGGTTCTTTATTCGGAGGTACAAGTCTTATCCAGGTTCTTTATTCGGAGGTACAAGTCTTATCCAGGTTCTTTATTCGAAGGTACAAGTCTTATCCAGGTTCTTTATTCGGAGGTACAAGTCTTATCCAGGTTCTTTATTCGGAGGTACAAGTCTTATCCAGGTTCTTTATTCGAAGGTACAAGTCTTATCCAGGTTCTTTATTCGGAGGTACAAGTCTTATCCAGGTTCTTTTTTCGAAGGTACAAATCTTATCCAGGTTCTTTATTCGGAGGTACAAGTCTTATCCAGGTTCTTTATTCGGAGGTACAAGTCTTATCCAGGTTCTTTATTCGGAGGTACAAGTCTTATCCAGGTTCTTTATTCGGAGGTACAAGTCTTATCCAGGTTCTTTTTTCGAAGGTACAAATCTTATCCAGGTTCTTTATTCGGAGGTACAAGTCTTATCCGGGTTCTTTATTCGGTTTGCGAACAGCCACGGACAGATTGCAAGGTGCCCAAATGGAGGGAATCCATAAGGTTTATTCCCCAAAAAAACAATGAAACGTTTCCCATCGACAATTATATAAATATTTGAAGGAACAGAGCAATTCTAACTTTGTTTCAACAAAATAACAAAATAACAAAATGTATTTACGGAATTTTAGTTGTATCAAAAAAATGATCCTTTTTTCATTTCAAACACATATCAATTGAAAAGTATTGGCAAATGAAACATCATAAGAATTTTATCTCACAATTAAGTAGACTCCTGTCGGATTAGTCAGAGCTTTGTACGGATGTCTCTCTAGAAAAATATTTATTGAAATGTAATCTGTTGCAGTAAACCATACCTTAATTAAAAATACGTCATCCTTGCCACTTACATCAGAACAAATTATAGTCTTTTAGATTTACTTGTAATTTTTAATCAATAATAATCATTATTGTTGTCATCGATTCCGCCACATTGACGACAATCTTTCTAATGGCCCTGTCACACGATTAGACAAGCGTATACCGCTTATGAAAAAATTACCGAAAACGCTGCCGTTCTTGGATACGTTATAAGTAAGTTTTGTGTATACTGATGTAGGTTGTAGCACGCCTGTAGAGTAGTAGTAATATGGCTACCTTTCAACACTTTACTTGTATAAAATTATCGACGTACTATGCTGTTATACTCAAAGCGTATTTATAAGTGCACAATGCACAAATGATTCGTCGACTTCGCCGTACTTCGACGTATGGCAGCGTATTTCAACGTGTTTTAACTCATACAAAACGTTATACCCCTATTTCCCCCGAAATTACTCGATCTATTTTTTGGTCGATCGGCCTCATTTTTGCAAAAAAATTGTTTACCTGCGAGCATTATCGATCACCGCCTTTCACATTCGGGGGAAGATCTGCAGGGAAAGGTACAGAAAAGTGATCGGTTGCTGGTTTTTTTTAGCCAGCTCGATCTGAACCAGATTTTCCACGATGAATTAAATTTTTTGATCGACCCAATTGTCGTCCTGAAACGCCCCTAATCGTCCTGAATCGATTCTGATCGTCATGAATCGACTCTAGTCGTACTAAATCGGCCCTTTTATTTATACCGACCAATGGACCATGGCATGGGTAAGTGAAATCACGGACGTTCCTCGGACCCTTCGTCAACCCTTACAATACATTTGGCCACTCTCGACTGAACAGCGTAGGAAGATCGCACACTTGCTATCATCAATTTGCTATCATCAATTTGCTATCATCAATGTCATTGATAACAATTATAATCAACATCAAAATTTCAAAAATCATCAACATGAATTATCAAAATCCTCACATATATCATCAGGCTAGCATTATTTCCCTCAACAGATAGGCAAAAATATTTCTCTAGTTATTATACAGTTTTTTTATATAAATAAACGATGTTTTTTTTACCTGGAATGATAAGATTTTAATCATTACCTGAAGTTATTGCTAAGAAAAGTCTTTATTGGCTACTGAACATTGTCGTCGAAATCGATGAATGTTTTGACTTTTTCGTTGTACTAAGTCAACACTGCACATCTTTAAAACAATTCTTGATGTTTAAAATCAATTGTAACAAACAACCTCCAAACAAAGCTACACTAAGTTACATATTACAAGAAAAGCCTGATCTCAACAAGGCGATTTCCTATTGTTTACAGAGCAACTTGACGACTGGGTTGAAATTCGATTACAAATAATACAATTCGAACTAAAGAGTTTTAACCATTCTATAAAGAGGTGTTACCCAGCACAGCTCGGTAGAGTATGAACGACATTTACGTAATTTTCTACACACCCACACCTTATATTGACTAAAATACAATATACATCACTAACGTATCTTGCCCTGTCATCTGAAGACTCGCCACAATATATTCAAAACCTTTTTGAACCGGTATATCCCCACCAGAACTCTTGCTTGTTCAACATGTGATTCCATGGCAAGAGATCTTTTTATGGTGTTTGAATCACGTAGCAACATGACAAGGTGGGCGTTGTTTCGGCAAACTTAATGATATGTTCAGTGTGTTAGTGAACCTTCATAGTAGACCAATTGTAACATAACAAAGCCACGTAAATGGCAAAAGGCATCCTTTTTATAAAACACATCGGAATCTCTTACAGTATTATAGCATTCTTTGTACCAAATAGCGCGATAATCTGCCACTTTCCGGAGATTAACAAGATTCGGTTTTACAATGACAGATACTGTTCATTATTTACAAGCCTGTCTCACGTTTCGTTCTTACACTATACTGACAATACAAACAGAACAACTGTTAAACCGAGCGGTCGGTAATTTACAGTAGTTCAAGAAGGAAATATTGACTTCAAGCCTTACCTATATGGCAAACCATACGTAAAGTTACATGAAAAATAGTGTTAACATCTTTTGTACCCATGCTCTTTCACTTTCAAGAAATAAAATTATAAGTAACACAATTCTTAACGGATTTTGACGAAATTTGTTGTGATTTTTTTTAAAACTCCATTCATTTCATTTTTGATTACTTCTTACAACAATTTTTGTTTGATATACGAACTGATAACTTAAACAGAATTGTCACGTTGATTTTCTATCTTACTTTACAAAAAAACATGATAGCTTTAACCGGATTGTCTTTTAATCTAGTACTTGTTATACCTTTTACCTCACCATCAAGATAATTCTTCCTTCCTTTCTTCTTCCCCGGTAGTAAAACCTAAATCCAACACAGATATACCATAGTTTTTGTTTCCCGATGTTTGTTGACAGATTGGTGTCTTTGTGGACGTATTAAAACTAATCTATTTAGCCCTACCAAATATACGTAAAAAGAATTTAATTTCAGTTTGGTCACCGAGTATATTTCTATATTGTTTTAAAGAAATAGTATTTATTTATTAATATTTAATCGTAAAATATTTCAAAATGTTCAAAATAAAACCTGACAATTGCATGATCAATCCTATAATCATTATTTTAATCGCATTTATCAGTCGTAAACCTAAATTAATCTGATTGAAAAGGAAATGAGGGAAATTTTGCCAGGACAGCGGCATTAGCCTGCTCTTTTTCGATTTCCAACTGTCGAGGGATCTTAAACGAGCACATTCTGTAGCACACGGGGCCTCGGTTTATTGTCCCATCCGAACGACTAGACGCTTTTTCCATGTCAGCCCCTCTTACCTGCATCACTGACAGGGGGAAACTGTGTTGATAAATCGGAAGGTATTATCTCGACCTATGCCGGGATTGATCCCTGGACCTTCAGGTTAGCAAGCAAGCGTCTAACTCACTAAGCCATCGCGGCTCCCAACAATATATTCAATAAACAACATGTCTTCTATCACATAATCTATTTTAACAATCTAATTAGTGAATTTGTCTACAGTGGTCAGTATTCGACAAGAGAATTATTCGGAATTTAAGCAATGTAATACAGTACGGGTGGAAGGAAAGGTCCATGACAATAAACCTCCTTTATACAACAAATAATTTAACAATGGCTATTTGTCGACACTAGTTTAGGAAATTCAAAGTCACTCTCGCTGTCACACTGTCTAGTGTTTATTGGTATTACAGATTTTTGTATGTGAAATGAGAATGGTACAAACTAACTAAAACGACACCTTGTAGAATTAAACTCAATCCAAATTAATTAATAATACACAATTTCCACGTTATAATTGATATAATACAATAACATACAACTGATATAGATAGTAGAATAAAAAATATCTTTTAATGTAGTTTTTGATATAATGGTAATACTTGACAGGTATCTCCAAGGAGATGTAGGAGACTCATTGTTAATTGTCGTTGCTGGTAGACTAAGAGGAGCGATGTTACAATCAAATTATTAGCCTGAATAATAGTATAATAATATTTTATTATGAAGGTAAAAATATTGATAAATAATTATGATATCATGTGTTCTTGACACAGTTTACCCAACACACATATTGGGTGCGTGTTGACAACCCTCCTACACTCCAAAATCTCAATTTCTGTTTCTAAAATCCACGTAAACTCAGTCATGGTGATGCACAACACCTCTTTCACCACGGTCGCCACATCGGATCGTCATAATTTATATCAGGCTTAATATTTTCTTCATTTATTTGAATAAAAACACCCTCATTCTCACACTCATTGTCATTACAAAGTATTTTCTCATCGTTTTTCAATATACGACCTAGATCTGTCTTCTTATCTTTACATCTAGAAAAGTTCTCTTGGTTATTTGAAACAACTTCTTTCAAAACACCAAATGCTGAATCTGGAGTTTTTTTCATTTTTTTCAATTTATTCACCTCTTGATCTGGGTGAATATCCCAACACGATTTTGATGAACTTTGGCCCAGGCTGCTAGAAGTCTTGTCTGTTGTTTCAGTCGTTATGTTTTCATTTTGTTTCAGTGTTCTTGGTTTGTTTGAAAATCTCAGTCTTTGAGATTCCATGTTTCTCAGTCGATTAAGGTTATTGATTGTCATAATGTTAATATCAGATGATGCTTGGTGTTCTGAACTTGACTTTTGAAGGCGATTGCGAACACTAGACAAACAGCCATGAAAAATATGTCTAACATCGCTCTCTGATACTTTCATGGTCACTAAAAACGCCTGTATACTTCTAATACATTCTAAGAAACCTCGAACATAGTTCTGTTGTATGTTTAGCTCTGAAATTTAACATTCTACTCTTAAAAACACAAACAGATCTCAGACAACATGCTTTGTTCTGAATTTAAGGAATTTAACTAATATATCTGATTATTTACTTATTCATGGTAAGAGAGTGATTTTAACAAGAATATACACGTCTTATTGTTGAGGTAATGGACTTATTTGTTTCTGACACTAGGGGGACTGGAATTACAAGGTATGTGTTTATTGCAACAAAATATTACTTCATGTACATACCATACCCCATATCCCCTCCAGATATAAAATTAATTGCTCCACGAACAGTATATTATTATTATCTTATTACATTGAGTAGATTATATAACATACCCGACGTTTTATTCTGTTTAATATATTCTACTGTTCTTTCTAAAACTTCAGCTTTTTCTAGTTTGGTATTGGCTGTAAACTACAAAACATATGAATTCTGTTGGTAAATTATTTGGTATATATATATATATAAATATCATCAGGGTCAGATAAATACTGTAGCCTCTATCTTGTTCACACGCCAAATTTGATGCGTTTTTACTATGCCAAGGGAAATAAATCAAAATCTTTTCATCCAAATGAGCCAAATTCGAACTCGACCAAGATCTTAACAATACATACATACGTAGTTCATGATCGAATAAAAACTGTATCCCTATCGTGTTTATAAGCTAATTTGATGAGCATGTCATGGGCAATAACCCCAAAACCTGGTATCAAAAAGAGCCTAATTTGAACTTGACCGAGATCTCATCAATATATACATACATACTAAGTTTCATTTAGATAGGATAAAAACTCTAGCCTGTAATGTGTTTACTAGAAATATGAACTGATGGAACGACGGACAGGGGTGACTGCAATATATACGTCCACTTTTCCATGTGCGCGTATAAAAACTTAGGAAACTCCGTTCTGTACAATATCGTAACTCCGTTTCAGATTGAAATTTCTCTTGGAAATAAATAGGGTTCTTCTTTACGAAATAATCCCTGTAATTTCCAAGACAATATCAAGCAAAACGCTAGCCTTTAGTATGTTTACAAAAATCAAACGGACGAAAAGCAATAGACATCTTCAAACTTTATAAAACAATATTTAGCTACCTGACTTAGAGAGGGAGTAATCAGTTTTTCTATTTCTTCTAAATAACAATTGATTTTCGCTCTTCTGTTTCTCTCTGCTACATGTTTCCTTGTCTAAATAATAAAAAGGTTTTTTTACTGATGATAATCTGAAACTACAGTGTCACGGTTCTTACAAACATCCTGTCATCTAATTTTCTGGGGGTGTTGCAAACTGTGTTTACCAAACAATAGTCATACCAGATATAGTTTCGTAGTATTGGTGACAATTGCAATATGAGAATAGCACAAAGGGCTATTTTGGTGCTCTCCCAAAAAATATTGTTTAACAAACGTGTACGCTTACTAAATTTTTATCATTCTCCAAATCATTTTGTCGTGGAATCTTCATCTTGCTCTATCGTCTTTTCTTATCTTGGACATCAGTTGTATCTTGTCTTTCTTGGTTTATTCGTTTCTGTTTCTGCAGATATAATCCATAATATACTTTTATTTAAAAAGATAGTAATGGTTTAAACACTGAAACCTTCACACTATTAAACCTATAATAATACACCAACTTCAACTTATTAACAAATGACACCAAAATGGTGGACACTGGTGAAAATTTGAATTAACTTCCTTATGAACTCTGTTATCAATGAAGATGACTTCAACACAACCAGGTGAAAAATGTCTGAATGTGCTATTGATTAGATCGCCTATAGAGATTTGAGATCATTTCAATACATTAGACCATCTCATGTATTGTTATAAATCACCGCTTTCTCTATTCACTTCTCTCATGGGTGGTTGCTTTCAACGTTTCATTGGTTTTTGACTCCTCCCTAATTTATAAACCACCATTATACTACTTTACGACCGTCTCGGTCGAATTATTTGATTGGAAGCAAGCAAAATATATTTCAACTACGCTGGTAATTGTGAGAAATTGCTAATACTTGCACTTAAATAGAAATATCAGCAACAATTTGTTTTACTAACCCATAGTTTTAGTTTTTTATCATAATCATTTTTCTTTTTCAATATACACCTAATTAATTAAAGGTGTTTTATAATTGATAGATCAAATAGTTTCAGTATTCAGTAACAAAGTAACAAAGCACTAATCAACTTATTTCTTTAATATAATAATTTTCTTTCAAAAACAAACAAAAAAAAATATTAATCTTTTCATCTTTCTTCTTTCGTAATTATTTCGTTTATTAAAGACTTTGTTTTTGTTTCTTACTTCATTGCCTATATACTCTATTGCCTATATACTCTATTGCCTATATACTCCATTGCCTATATACTCCATTGCCTATATACTCCATTGCCTATATACTTCATTGCCTATATACTCCATTGCCTATATACTCCATGGCCTATATACTCCATTGCCTATATACTCCATTGCCTATATACTTCATGGCCTATATACTCTATTGCCTATATACTCCATTGCCTATATACTCCATTGCCTATATACTCCATTGCCTATATACTTCATGGCCTATATACTCCATTGCCTATATACTTCATGGCCTATATACTCCATTGCCTATATACTCCATTGCCTATATACTTCATTGCCTATATACTCCATTGCCTATATACTCCATGGCCTATATACTCCATTGCCTATATACTCCATTGCCTATATACTTCATGGCCTATATACTCTATTGCCTATATACTCCATTGCCTATATACTCCATTGCCTATATACTCCATTGCCTATATACTCCATTGCCTATATACTCCATTGCCTATATACTCCATGGCCTATATACTCCATGGCCTATATACTCCATGGCCTATATACTCCATTGCCTATATACTCCATTGCCTATATACTCCATTGCCTATATACTTCATTGCCTATATACTCCATTGCCTATATACTCCATGGCCTATATACTCCATGGCCTATATACTCCATTGCCTATATACTCCATTGCCTATATACTCCATTGCCTATATACTCCATTGCCTATATACTCCATTGCCTATATACTCCATTGCCTATATACTCCATTGCCTATATACTCCATTGCCTATATACTCCATTGCCTATATACTCCATTGCCTATATACTCCATTGCCTATATACTCCATTGCCTATATACTTCATGGCCTATATACTCCATTGCCTATATACTTCATGGCCTATATACTCCATTGCCTATATACTCTATTGCCTATATACTTCATGGCCTATATACTCCATTGCCTATATACTCCATTGCCTATATACTCCATTGCCAGGTTTTATAATGAAAATACGAATGGTGGAATTTGAAACTTTAACTTCTTTTCTATCTGATTAGAATATTCAAAATATATTCACTGTTTCATTGATCTAGAGTTAAACAACCTTTCTACATTGAATGACTGGATCTTCTTTTGTGTTTACCGTCGTTTTATAATTAATGATGATCTTTTAAACCTATTGTTTAATTGTTTTTTTTTGACATTTGATTAGGTCATAAATCCAGAGTTTTACGCCCACCATTGTCACAGAATCAAACAAATTCATCATCAAAGACGCCCGCGTTAGAAATTGAACGGTCATTATAGATTTTAAAAAGTGGAAAGATGTGAATGGAACTGAAATAAATGAAAATATAAACTGGATTGAAAAATAACCATAGAAATGTAATCTATCATTTAAAATTAATCCCTGAACAGATTGAACTTTGTGTGTTTCGAAATGTCAATTTTTTTTATTTCCAAATGTACACATTGAAAACAGCTTAGCCGCAGTAGTTAGAGCAACTCTTCAAAATATTGTAGATCTTCTGTAATGACAACTTTGTGACAATATCGAACGTGTTTGATATTATTCGCCCTAATATTCATCGTTATCGACTCGATCGGCAAGTGTGAGCACTCTGGCCTAGTCTATCGCGAACTTTCCTATAACTCAACCAATTACTCATGATATATATCAACGAAACTTTATGCTGATTGGTAGCCATTGTTTTGACACAAAAAACGATAAAGTAAATCCGGGCCGGACGTGATACTTTGGCGAGTTACCATTTTGATTTTTCAAAAATACGTCGATTTTTGTTCAGATATTATAGCCTATCCTATTTCTATACACCCACATTATAATCTGGTCGTTTATTGTCGTCGTCACTTCCCAAGATGGCATCGCGTTAAGTTCAAAGCTCTGTATTGTAGGCCTATATATAGGGCTGATGTCATGTGTTAGACCCTCTATATTATATAACCAATGATGTCAAACCATAGATATATATAATAAATAATACATAAACTCATTCAACTCGTTGACGGACTACATTTATATAAAAAGTATTAGTGGTCTGAGTCCTTCTGGGGAAACCGGAAATAGACAGAGAACCTGTGACGAGAATTACCTCCCCTGATCCTCTACCATTGCCAATTTCTTATAGGTTAGTTGCTTTATGTTCACGTTAGTATTATCCGCCGACATCGGGGTAATTTAAGCTTTATAATACTTGAATATGGATAAAAAATGTAGTATTTATATTCATTATATCTAAAACAACATTTTCAACAGAAGAAATTAGTCTAAACTGTTTATTTTTAAGCATGTGTCGAGGTTTGTTTAGAAAAATGGACGTCTACATGATTGAAGCCGAAGGTGTCGCGACGATTCGGACTGTATTTGTTTTGAATCATGTTAGAATAAATTGTTATTTCGGCTATGTATGAAACTTACACTCCCGCCTTCTTGCTCTATAAGTAAAAATTGTGTATCTTGACAACCTCCGGTACATTGCAAGACGAATCGGACCATAACAAAGTCGAACCACTTTTCACAACAAACTTGGACCACATTTTATAACATATAATAACACACTCTGTTCCCTATTTATACGCCCACATTATGTGGCCGTATATTGTCAATGGTCTGTCCGTCCACAATTGACCTGTGAACACGATGGAGGGCTACAGTTTTTATCCGATTTAAATGAAATTTGTTGTGATCATGAGATTTTGGTCCAGAACGAAATTGACAAACCTTTGATGAACGTTTTTTGAGTTATTGCCCTAGACTTAGGAAGAACGCATCTAAATTTGTTTGTGAACACAATAGAGACTACAGTTTTCATCCGATTTAAATGAAATTTAGTATCATCATTTATGATGACAGAATTTGATGAAACTTGGTAATATTATTCAGTATCGCCGCAAAAAGTTTGAAATAAGTGTATGACTGAAGGTTGAATATTTCATTCTGGTGATTGTTACTGTACTGCTTAATATTTTTATTTAAAATCAAAGCTGCTAATGGGCGTATATTACTTTGTCTGGCAAGTTATTTAATATTATTAGATAAACATTTATTTTACAGGTTACAGAATAACCTCTTAACAGGAATATGGCAAAGTCTAAGAATGCTTCCCAGCATCACAATAGTAAGTTCTTACAAAATCTCTCACTATTAATATATTTTGTTTAAGGATGCCAGGGTTCGTTTAAACTTTAACATTTTTGAGGGTAATATAATTATATAATAGAATATACTAGTATATATATCTATAAATAACCAGGGTTGTCATCAATTCTTGGTCAAATGAAACACTTTTAATCTATATTCAATTCATTTAATGCATTATATTCTTGATGCCTCTTGAGGAACGCTAAATCTAATAATTAATACATTATTCAATTAAATGAGTGAAGAAATCGTATTGAAAAATACGTCTTAAAAGGACAATGGCCGCCGTAGATATGAATGTTTGATTTCCATTACAAAAATTATTATCAACAGAGGGATTTTCAAAACATGGAAATGTTATAGCTGTTCAAACTTATAGATTCACAAAAACTTCGTGTAAGCACTAACTATAGAAATAACAAAGTAGTCCTAAGTCCAACATGTTTCAAGAGCACAAAGCCATGCCCCTTATATATATTTACATTAGCCAATCAACGTCTTTGCTTTAAACACGTCATACATCTAGGTGACATCACCCCAAACACGTGGATGAAGGTTAGACAAGTTGACTGACTGTTGACGTTATTTTGACACGACTTTCAGGGATTTCAGTTGTGGTGAAAAGATGCGTTTATGGAATTTTCGACAGTGACAATTGCTACAAAAAGATGAACAGTGCGACTTTTCTGGTGATAAGCTGAAATTGTCAAACCTAACCTCTACTACATTTATATCAATCAAAAATAATACGATTTTCAGCTGAAACTTCAGTTATGGTTATTTTTTTTATTATTTTTTTAGATAGAAAAGATCATAGAAATGGTATTCACAAAGTAAAAAGGAAATACACCCAAGATATGAAAGGGGTAAGTAGTAATGCTTTAAACTTCTGAATGTTTTTCTGTGGGAAACCCAAACGAAATGTGTCTGTCCAAAACACTCCATAGGGTACAATTCTTGATGGATTTTGACAAATCGTGGTGAAATTGGTTAAGATCACCAAAGGATGAACCCTATTGATAATCAAAATATATTTACCATTTATTTCCATCTTCTTCGAATCACCTTTGTTATATGCCTATATTGAAATGTGGACGTATATTGCCGTCAGTTCACATTTCTCTACACTACAGTTTATAGTTGATGATGTATATGTTAATGAGATCTCGGTGAAGTTCGAATCAGATGAAAGGTTTCGTGGTCGACCATACCTTCTACTGTTACGATAATACCTTGTGACAATAATACATGGTGCCTGTATTACTGTGACCATAATACCTTGTGCCTGTATTACTGTGACCATGATTCAGCAAATTTTATTGGATTGTCTGTTTGAGAATAGAGCCATTAGAGCCGTCAACAAATAGATTATGTCTTATGGAGTACAGACTATCTGTCTAGGGATCAGGGCTCTGTCTGTATTCGGTAGTTTGCAATCAAATAAAATTACTATATTCGCAAACTTCGGTAAAAAGAGAAAGGTGGCCATTGCAATCAATATATTGGTAAGGTAAAAAGAGAAAGGTGGCCATTGCAATCAATATATTGGTAAGGTAAAAAGAGAAAGGTGGCCATTGCAATCAATATATTAGTAAGGTAAAAAGAGAAAGGTGGCCATTGCAATCAATATATTGGTAAGGTAAAAAGAGAAAGGTGGCCATTGCAATCAATATATTGGTAAGGTAAAAAGAGAAAGGTGACCATTACAATCAATATATTGGTAAGGTAAAAAGAGAAAGGTGGCCATTGCAATCAATATATTGGTAAGGTAAAAAGAGAAAGGTGACCATTACAATCAATATATTGGTAAGGTAAAAAGAGAAAGGTGGCCATTGCAATCAATATATTAGATGCTGTTTGTAATTGTGAAGATGGTAACTATTAAAAATATTTTAACTTGTTTCATGGGATCTTCTCTTTTTCAGGTTGATCAAAAGTTCAAATTGAACTTAAAATTCTCCAGGAAGAATAAAAATCCCTCAAACAGACAAATAAAGAAATTACAAGCAAGAAAAGATAACTGGAATTTAGCTCGAGGCATGCCACAAGAACCTATTGTTCTAAATAGACAAGTTATGGAAAGAAAAGCTCTTCTTGCCACCAGACAAGGGCGAGCAAAATTATTGAAATAAACTGTAAACAATTGCCTAGTTTGTTTCTATTTTGTTGATGGGTTGAGTTTCTATTTGAAGTAATTATTATATGCCCACATGAAAAATGATGTATATTGTAATCATGTCCGTCCTCAATTGGCTTATAAACACAGTAGATATATATATATCATTGAATTCAAACTAATAAAATTTCTTTAATATGAGAAAAATTAGTCCTTTAGTCACGATATGATATGGATTTACTAAGTCAAGGGTAATAACTCAAAAAATGTTCAACCAAAACGAGTCAAATTCAAACTTGATCGAGATCTCATCAATATATACATGAATACCAAGTTTTATTGTGATCTGATAAAAACTCTAGCCTCTATCTCGTCTACAAGAAATGTGAATAGATTTGGGCATGTAAAAAAGTTATAATACAAACTTCCTTTAAAAGACTTTAATCAAACATACTAGCTACACAATATAAATATATATATAGTAAAACCAATAAATCTGAGTACTAAGAGATTACAACATATAATATCTATGAAAACTGTACTGATAAAAGGGACATTGGTCAGATGTGCAAAATGATATTGCAAATATTTCACCAATTTGGTGTGAAAGGAAAAATTTTAAACTACTGCTGCCACCTGAAAGAAGAGAATATTAATAATTTGAACATATTAGGATATAACTATCTTGATATTGATTCAACTTAGAGGCAAAGAAATTTGATTTTAACTTGTTCAAGATCTTGTAGATAGAATCATGCACACCAAATTTCATAAAATTCAGACATAAACTGATGCCTCATTCACATAATTAATTGTTAATTTATTGTGCTCATAAGGAATGTAGACTGACATATTTCCACTCCCTTTAAAACTTGGTCCCCTCTTGAAAAGCTATCTTGATCTGGTGAAAAGACTTGTGATTATGATTATTTTGTTTAAATCATTGTGAAGTATTTAGATTGTCCAATTTTTCATTCCTGTTTGATTCTGCATTCTTAGCAAGTAAAAGATTTCCATCATCCAATCAAAAATATCAGATACCTATAATGCTTCATATGGCAATGCTCTTGCTACAGCTAATGTGTCTTTCAACATGTGGTTCCTTAAAGCCCACAAGGCATTGGTGACACTACCATGATATCCTGCTCCCTGTGACAACCATTGGGTTGGTAACCTGGCTTCATTTGGTACTGGAGTATTGTCTGGCTTGCAAGTCAATTGTTTATCCCAGTCACCTATTGTTCTGCTTTCAGCATTTAAACCTTCTATATACCTTAAATACACAGTTTGAATACTGAATAAATTATCTCTTCCACCCCAACAATAAATTATTTTATATTTTATAATAAATTAGTTTATTTTCCAAAATCAGCTTCTAACTGTGCAGACAATTTAAAATAGTGGAATTTGCAGAGCTCCGTCAGCCACCCTATTCCTAGTTATTACCACAATTCTTAAAGAAACATAATGAGAATATCCTTTCATAACATGGTGCTATAATACATGATATTACTAATTGTCAGTCATAGTCTCTTCACATAGATAAAAAATGTCATATTACTTAAGATATGCTTCAGAATGTAAAAGACGTTGAGTTCTTGGTGGTACAGAAACAAACATTGGTGAGGGTGGTCTTGGTGGGGCAGCTGCTACTAATGTCTGGCCTGAAAAATGTATAAACAACAATATATATATATATACCAGTGTCTTTGTATCAGTAATAGGGGGAGGGGGGTGGGTAAAATAATTTCACCATTCTCTTTAGCTTTGAGTTATATATATTTGGTCAAGGTCAAGGTTAAAGGGTTATGTTCACCATCATACCTTAAGTCTCAAAAACAGAAACAATTTATTTGATGCTACATTAAACACTATGTTCATGGCAGCCACAACATCACTCTTTACCCTTTTCATGTTCTAAAATATTGATTCAGTTTTACTACAGCCTATTATGACTTCCATAGCAAATTTATTGACAGTTTCCGCCCGGCATCCACGGCAATTAACGTCTGTCAGGTTTTCCTATACTGTACACCTTATCCTGATTTCCCTGAGATGGCCTGAACTGTGATTGCTGTGGCCGATGGGAACATGATGGGAACATAATGTAAACGTAAGTAAAAGTGTTGAAGTAAAGATAACTCGTAGAGAAATAAAAAGTGACATTTCTAGTTTGAGGTAATTTAACAATGTCTATTCAGTAAGCGTTATATTAGTTTAATCTGATACTCTAGGTAATATTCTCTCTAGTGAAGATTCAGTATTTCTCAGACATTGATAATACAAGAATATCACTAACATAAACTATATAAGCTAAAGACAAAAATATTATTTTGATCTTTCTATAGGCAAAAATTAATTAAAATTACACAATATATATAGCTACATTTTCTTTTTACTTTTCCTAATAAATTGACTGAAATCACTTGACACATTCTACATTCATTATGATCCTTTGAGCAGGGTGATTACTAACACTCATACCTAGTTTCATCTAAATCTGTCAAGATTGGAGTGTTTACATGCTAAAAATTGAACACCTTTTCTAGAACAAGGGCAATAAGGTCAAAATCCATCAAGAATTGTGCCTTCTAGAGTGTTTATGTAAAGAGTGATAACTCTATTAAGTGAATATTAAGAGAAATTTAATGGTGGCATCAATCTTGACATATATATATATATATATAGATCTTAATAACTTATACCTAAACTAAACTGATTACAACAGCAAACTGTTGATCTTTAAGCAAATCTAATTCATACTACCTATATATTATATTCTGGAATCTACCCATTTTTACAAGTTGTTAAAATAATACTATGTCTATATATATTTTAAAAAGATAGCTACTATTCAAAATCTACAGTAGGTACCTTGAGCACCAGCTAAACAGCTAGTTTGATATATGTTTGAATTTGGACTGGGTGGTAGAATGGGATAGGAACATATTAAACTAGAACCACATGGTGAAGCTGATGTTGTCTCATGTGAATTGGATGGCATAAACATATGATGTAAAGGCTGTGATATACCTCCATTAATATTTCCATATAACATGCCTTAAGAAAAATCAAATCACCAAAACAATACATGCATAGAGTACAACAAATAACATGAAATTATTAAGATAGATTGTCAGGCAAGGTAATATATGCTGACAGCTTTGATTTTAAATAAAAATATTTGGCAGTATATTAACAATTACCAGTATGAAATATTCAACCTTCAGTCATACACTTCTTTTTGGGGCAACACTGAATTACAAAGTTTTGCCAAACTTCAGCAAGAATCATGTCTTTAAATGTTTCTAAGCTAATAATTCAATGACAGCGACAAAAACTCTTTAAATATTTTTATTTTTGATAGGAGTTTATTCTTGGGTAATAAAAACCACTCACACTAACTTTTGTTAAAATCTGTCAAGAATAGTGCCTTCTAGAACAAGCTAAAAATTGAATGCGTTTTCAAGAACAGTAACTCATACTTAATATTTTTATTTTTTTTTTATTTTCAATTGGGTTCATTCTTGGGTGATTACGAACACTCACACATAGTTTTGTCAAAAATTGTCAAGAATTTTGCCTGGACGGACAGATATAGGTGACACCAATATACCCCCCAATTTCATGTGGGTGTATAAAACTCAGATAAAAACTGTGCCCATTGTGTTCACCTGCTAATTTAAGAAAGACATTAGAATGCAGGGGTATAAAAGTATTATTTATAACATAAATAATTTTTAATTCCAAACTTGTATTTCTCTATACTTTTCAGTTTCAAAAACATGATCTTAATGTACTTGTGCTGATCAGAATAAAGGGAGGCTACTCTACCTTGCATGTTAACTGCACCACTTGGCATCATGAAATTAGCTTGAGGATTCATTGCTGAGGAAGGAGTAAAACCTGCAGGGAATGAACCTGCAGTGAATTGAGGCTGTGTAAAACCTTGTTGTGGAAAGTTACCTAATACACAAAATAAAATAAAATAAACAACTAAATCACACCATGCTACATGCAGAAAAAAAGTTCTAAGAAATAGAAAGATAGCTTGCCAGGTAAAGTAACATACACCCACTGGCATCTGTAAGAAATGATAAAACAGTCTTTAATGACTAAAGTATGAATTTTCTCATATTAGTTTGAATTCAATGATATATATATTTATTTACTGCCAGTTATTTATGCTGAGAAATTCCACAAAAACAGATCTCATCAACATAAATGATCACACCACATTTCATAAAAAACACATGAATACTGTTGTCTCTATTGTCTTCATAAACAAAGGGCAATAACTCAATGACGGACTGACGGACATGGCAACAACAATATACGTCCACATGTGAGCGTATAAAAACAGGTGGTTACAACACAATAGAAATACAAATACAATATTAAATTAAAAATAAAATATAAAGTTTCAATCAAATATAAACTATAAAATATCTTCTTGTCTTATGTTCACTAATGAAAGAAATATCAAGTTATATAAATTTCTAAAAAGATGTCAAATATGGCAAATATCTTTAAAAATATTTTGTATTTCTGATCACACTTTGACGCTTTTTTACCAAGTCAAGGGTCATAACTCAAAATCTGTTTAACGAAAAGACTTAACAAAGATCTTATCAATATAAATGATCAAAACAAATTCGATTCAAATCAGATGATAACTGTAGTCTTTATTCACAAACAAAGTTTGACACTTTTTTATTAAAACAAGGGCAGTAACTTTAAAACCATTCATCTAAAAATCGTCAAATTCAAACTTGACCAAGATCTCATCAATATATATAATCACACCCAATTTCATTAAAATAAGATAAAAACTTGAAATTCAACTTATTTTAGTTCGAGGTAGTGGTGACCTAGTGGTGACCTAGTTCGTGTATTTTTTTTTATTTATTTTGCATACTGTCACTATAAAAATATTGAAGTGGATGAGTCTATTAACAGGTAAATTATTATTATTAATTAAAATATTACAATATAGGTAAGATATATTGATATTACTAACCTGGAGTATTTGGTCTTCCACTAGATCCAGGTGATATATGTCCAGATTCAGACCACGGACTCTGAGAACGATTCAGTGTATCATTAAAGGCTTTATCAGCTTCTTGTTGTTTCACAGCTTGTTGAGCTGCTAACACTTTAGCTCTTTCCTCATATTTTTCTTTATCTTCTCTTGGAAGAGCTCTCCACTATCAAATACAAGTTTTAAATGAAATGTAATAAGTAACAAATGTTCTAATACACCCACTGACAACTTTGATTTTAAATACAAATATTTAACAGTACAGTAACAATTACTAGTATGAAATATTCAATAGATTTTACCCTTGGGTGATTACGAACACTCAAAATCCTTCTAGAATTGTGTCTTCTAGAGTGTTTACAAGCAATTGTGGACGGACAGACATGAGTGATGACAATATAGGTCCCCCCATTTCATGTGAGTGTATATAAAAAGCGTAGATAAATAATAATAATAATAATAATGTATACAATTAAATTGTTTTTGTATTACTGTCTTATTATTATAAAGGTACTGTAGAATCTTATCAAGGTCACTAGAATATATATTATAACATGTCCTACTCTGACACTCTTGATAATCTGACATTGTTTTACAATCCCAGTGTATGTAGGATTACACAGAGTATCCCAGTGTATGTAGGATTACACAGAGTATCCCAGTGTATGTAGGATTACACAGAGTATCCCAGTGTATGTAGGATTACACAGAGTATCCCAGTGTATGTAGGATTACACAGAGTATATGGTAAATTCAATCAGTAATGTTGCAGGTTGCTTTACAAGTTAAGCCAAATAGATAGCAACGGGTAGTTGGAGGTTTAGAATTTATAAATAATACTTACTCTTGTACCAACAAGCCGACTTATTTCACCGAATGTTGCTTCAGGATTTTCATGTGTGATCTGTTTTCTCATTTCACCAGCATACACTATGTAACCACTTGGTTGTCTTTTCACTGATTGTCTCTATTAAAAAAAATACTCAATATCACATTGTTCAAAATCACAATTACAATACAAGTTGAAATACAGATTGATTGGACTAAATTGACTTTACAAGAAACCTTGAGTTAATTTTTTATACTGATGCTAGGTATTACTGATCATGTGTATCATGATGTAAAGGATTAGATTGGGTTATATAAATATATTTTGCGATATAGGCTTATACACAAAATATAACACGTTTTCTTCAAACTTGTCAGATAACATGATATTAATAAAACTAGTAATTTATTGTGGATTGTCTGTTAACTATTTCCATGTTAACATTCACTAATTGAAACTTTCGTGTTTTTGAGTACTATTAAGTTATATGTGTATCATGCCTGTTATTCACCAAAATATCCTGCCAGCAGAATTGAACTCAAGAGTTGACAGCTGAAACAAGCTTGGCATATCTTTCATTTTCTACAATAGACTGTGGATTTATGTACTTTAAGAAAATACCTTTTTTGGTTTTTCAGATGGTGTTTGTGAATTTTCATCTAAGGACAGAGCAAGATCACTTTTACCATCTTGAGAGTCATCAGCATCACCCAATAAATCTTCTGATGCTTTGATTAATAATGGAGATGGTTCCTACAATGACAAATTGACAAAATTGATTGTTTAAGCTTTCAGACACAATTTCAGAATTTTTGCCTATTTCAAGTTGGATTTTGGCCTTGAATATCATATATAGATTTCAGAAGTACTAGAAGTGTATTCAATTATGAAAAATAAATGTTATTTCATATTAATAATAGAAACTGGTCATCATTGTTTAGTATTATAAGAAGGATAAGATTTGATTATCAAGTACCTAAATATTCACAACATGGTTAGAAGTCTCAAAAAAATTTCAGTTGTGTGTAATCATGGATATACACTGTCTCAAATTTTGAGGGTGAGCTATGAACACTATTTAGGTCATCTAAACAATTGATCAGTATGTGCTTAAAGCTAGTGGATCCCTAACAGATACACCTCAGTTGTTCCTATGAGAAGATTTATCAAATAATTTCCCTTCTTTCATTGTTTGATAAATATAAAAACTTATGATCTAGATGTTAATAGACAAAACAAGAATATTAGAAACATTTAAAATTGGTTAGTAAAAATGTGCCTTGATATAATCTAACAGTAGTTCAAAAATAATTATAATCAACAAAAAAAACAAGAAGGCTTAATTTCCAACCTTTTCTTGGGACGCCTTGAAAGAAAAGACATAATATCATTTACAAATATTCTACAGACTGATAAATACTTTCTTACTGAAATAACTGTTAAACACCTCTTTATCTAGAAATCTACCTGTATATAAAGATTAATGAGTTAGCAGGGTCTGTACCAGATTAAAAGATTACACCTACCTTCTGTGGTAAAATTTGTTTACGGAAGAAATATATTTCATCATCAGTCACTTTAGGTGATAATGAATATCTCTGTAAACAACAAAAATAATATGACATTAAATCACAAATTTCCATTATGAATAATTTACGATGAAAACTTTAATGATGTAAATCTTTTTAAGATAGCTTGCCAGGTAAGGTAACATACACCCACTGGCAGCTGTCAGAAATAATTTTCATATAAAATAGATCAGGCAATGCCCTTAAACTACATGAAAAATTAAAAACAAAAATGAGAATAAAAAATAGCCATACCTTCAATCCTTTTCCTAATTTTTTAATTGTTCTTTCAGCCTCAAGATATTTAGATTCTGTTATATAAACATCATTTTCAGATATCTCTGTTATACGACCTAAAAATCAAGATAATACATCAGTGATTGGGCCATGAAATATCAAGATAATACATCAGTGGTTGGGCAATGAAATATCAAGATAATACATCAGTGATTGGGCAATGAAATATCAAGATAATACATCAGTGCTTGGGCCATGAAATATCAAGATAATACATCAGTGATTGGGCCATGAAAAATCAAGATAATACATCAGTGATTGGGCCATGAAAAATCAAGATAATACATCAGTGATTGAGTCATGAAATATCAAGATAATACATCAGTGATTGGGCCATGAAATATCAAGATAATACAGTGCTTGGGCCATGAAATATCAAGATAATACATCAGTGATTGGGCCATGAAAAATCAAGATAATATATCAGTGATTGGGCCATGAAAAATCAAGATAATACATCAGTGCTTGGGCCATGAAATATCAAGATAATACATCAGTGATTGGGCCATGAAATATCAAGATAATACAGTGATTGAGTCATGAAATATCAAGATAATACATCAGTGCTTGGGCCATGAAAAATCAAGATAATACATCAGTGATTGGGCCATGAAATATCAAGATAATACATCAGTGATTGGGCCATGAAATATCAAGATAATACATCAGTGCTTGGGCCATGAAATATCAAGATAATACATCAGTGCTTGGGCCATGAAATATCAAGATAATACATCAATGATTGGGCCATGAAATATCAAGATAATACATCAGTGCTTGGGCCATGAAATATCAAGATAATACATCAGTGATTGGGCCATGAAATATCAAGATAATACATCAATGATTGGGCCATGAAATATCAAGATAATACAGTGCTTGGGCCATGAAATATCAAGATAATACATCAATGATTGGGCCATGAAATATCAAGATAATACAGTGCTTGGGCCATGAAATATCAAGATAATACATCAATGATTGGGCCATGAAATATCAAGATAATACATCAGTGCTTGGGCCATGAAATATCAAGATAATACATCAGTGATTGGGCCATGAAATATCAAGATAATACATCAGTGCTTGGGCCATGAAATATCAAGATAATACATCAGTGATTGGGCCATGAAAAATCAAGATAATACATCAGTGATTGGGCCATGAAATATCAAAGTGCCTACGTTCTATGAAGAAAGAATGTTAATTAATTCTAGTTGGAAGTTGTTTCACTTAACAAACGATTTTTACATGCCACTTCCAATTGAGCCTGTGTACCAAATTTCATAGCTCTAGCTTATTTAGCTTTAATTACCCACACTTCTCAATCAGCATCTCCCCCTGGCACACACAAATAATCACACAAAAAAATGTCAAAATTATATGGGGTATAGAGACTGGGGTAAAGAGACTTCTTCTCAAAATAGCTTACTAGAGCAGTATTCTTTAATGTGTAAAACAGAACATTTTCCAATTATACTCTGTACAGGGTTAGTATCTTCTATAGAACTTAAAAATACTTCATGTTTATAGAATAATCTTGTTGGTGAATGTTGGATTTCTTCTGGACGTACAAACCAAGGACCATTAAAAAATGTTGCACCACTAAAAAGAACAATTTAATAATAATAATAATAATTTAATCACACTATATCTACCTATAAACACTGGTTCCTAAGACTAGTTCTGATATTTTTCATTGTAGAGATAGTTGATAACAACCAGATAAATAAGACCACAAGTGTTACTGCCAAACTTAAATTAATGGTTTTTCAGAAATATTTCCTATTAGGAAACCTCATCTTTCGTGTGAGAATAATGTTTCACATTTAGAAACATCAGAATCATAATTGATGAATGATTTGCTGTATTCTACTTACATATTATTTATAAATAATTTATCAATTCTAGCTAACATTGGTTTATCTTTACCTCCATTAACATAAACACAATCACCTAAAATATAATTCTAACCCATTCTAATTCCATGCTTAACAGTAATGGGTTTAGAATATAACTTTACATAACATAAAGAAAATGAGTATCTTTGTCAATTTTCAATCTAAATTGAATTGAATTTTTTCCACATATTTAATTTACTTAGTTTACTCAAACTGTCTATTAAAGGTCATAGGAAATGATTTTAATTATTCACTTTGTGCTGTATTTTATAACTAAAAACTATTCCAATTAGAAATATGTAAAAAACACAATTTATAAATATTAATATGTTAGCAATAATACACATTTCAAATCTGGATATCTTCAATATGTGGTCTAAATCAGAAATAAAAACCTATTCAATTCTGATTTTAATGGTAAAATATAATGCTACATGGGATTATATAAAATATCATAGAGAATATTAGATTACTATAGTTGGAATTTTGTTTAAATAATATAGGGCCTATCAATCGTTGTTGATCTGCCAGTGAAATTCATTATTTTCATACCTAATTTATAACATGCTCCAGATGGTGTAACTAACTGTTCATAATAAATATTACCATCTTCTGATGTACCTTCTACTTTAATATCCTACAATAAACATATATTATATATATAGTAGGTTATCTAAAAATATTAAATATATAGACAGAGTACTTGATTATGACACATCATGATTATTTTCAATTAGTTTAAATATTTAACTACCTCTCTAGTTTTATCCAAGATGCTAGTTTCACCATCATCAAAATCTGGTTTTTCAATATCACTGTTTGTTTTATCAGCAAATACAGATTCTACACGAACTGGTGTTAATGGTTCATCTCTAGCAACAATTTTAATATGATCTGTTTTAGGTACACTCCATAACTACAAAGAGAAAAATGGAATAATTTTGCATGTATTACAACAATTTAAACAATATTTCAAGGATCACTTCCCCATGAATTATATTATCTATTTTGTTAGTAGCTGCCCTACTGAGTATTATATTATCTATTTTGTTAGTAGCTGCCCTGCTGAGTATTATATTATCTATTTTGTTAGTAGCTGCCCTGCTGAGTATTATCTATTTTGTTAGTAGCTGCCCTACTGAGTATTATATTATCTATTTTGTTAGTAGCTGCCCTGCTGAGTATTATATTATCTATTTTGTTAGTAGCTGCCCTGCTGAGTATTATCTATTTTGTTAGTAGCTGCCCTGCTGAGTATTATCTATTTTGTTAGTAGCTGCCCTGCTGAGTATTATATTATCTATTTTGTTAGTAGCTGCCCTGCTGAGTATTTGTTATAGAAATATATTTTTTAATTAAAAAATATTAATTACTTACACTGACCTTTATTTTTTTAAAAGCTCTGTGTTTATTACTATATCTTGATTCACAAACATAAACATCTTTATCTGCCATGTCCTTAAATTACAACAATTCTAAATAAAACAAAGATATTTATAATATTAATCATTTCAATAAACATGATAGCTTGCCAGATAATATACGCCCACCGCCGCAATCTGCATGATAGCTTGCCAGATAATATACGCCCACCGCCGCAATCTGCCGGCAGCTTTGATTTTGAATTAAAATATTCTGCAGTCCAGTAACAATCACCAGTATAAAATATTCAGCCAACTTTCTGAATAATATCACCATGTTTTAACAAAAATCCAGCTAGAATCTAACCTTCTAGTGGCTTGGAGCTAAAAATTATAAGTGTTTTTAAGAATGAGTTCAATTTTTTGAGATTTAATAGGGTTCATCTATCAGTGATAATAAACAATGTCACCAAATATCAACATCTATCAAAAATTGTGCCTTCTAGAGTGTTTACGCGCTAAAAATTAAATGCATTTCCATGAACAAGGACAATAACTCATACTAAATATTTTTCATTAAAAATTGTGCCTTCTAGAGTGTTTACAAGGTAACCATTGAACGAGTTTTCAAGAACAAGGACAATAACTCATACTAAATATTTTCATTATCATCTTTCATACAACTTATTTCAGTTATACAGAACATTTTTATCAATTCAATCGTTTATAATAAAACAAATATTATTTTATAATCTCTGTGTATTTTGGTGAAAATAAAAAAACAACTCTAATAAAGATACAGTGATTAACATACCATAGGCTTCATTTTAAAATAATCTTTTACAAACATGACATAACATTTTCCCCAAATTTGACTCATAGCAATAGTAGTAATACTATCACTCTTGAATACTTCCTGCAGTAAAAAAACACAATAATGTAATACAAATTTATAAAGTGACTCTATGGTAGCTTGGTATGTTTACATGAATCTTAATTCTAAATTCTACAGTATATATACAGACTCATAGACATTGTTAATTAAAGATTCAGACATGAGCCAATGTGAAACTAACCAGAGTACAAGTCATATACAGAGATACAAACAATCTGTTTTTACCTTCTCAAGGAATTTTCTTGTCTGTAGATGATAAGTTTCACCAGGTCTATAGAACCAATTACCTTGTATCATCTGAATATTATCACTATCTTTAACAAATTTCTCTATACACATAATATGAGGTTCTAAACCATGTTCTCTATTTATATATTAATATTAACATATCATTCTGGTGAAAGAGTAGGATAGTAGAATATATAACAATCAATCAATCATTTTATTCTGAGGTAAGAAAATTAATAATGAAAACAATATATACAGAGTAACCTAGTCTGAAACTTCTGTCTGTATGCCAAGCTCTGATGGATATTGTGAAAATTGTATATATGTACAAACTGTAGCTTACAAGGTCTGGGTGTAATCAACAAATAACTAACCTTGGTTCAATATACACAAAATCTCCTAAATAGTAAACACAATCTTTAAATTTGATTCCTTCTTCATTAACTTCATTTTCTGTTTGTAACTAGAACAATAATAATAATAATTATTTTCAGTTAGAAACATATAGAAATCTGTAAAAATTCACATTGTCATAACTTAATGTTTTATAAGGTTCAGGGTTTATATATGGCACAGTTCAATTGATGCTCCACAACTTTCTATTGCCCTTTCTCAAATATATTAAACAATTTGGCTGTTTTATGACATAATTTACAAACGACTTCCTTCAACTTTGTCCTTGGTATCAAACATTCATTGCTTGATTCTTCAATTATACTTTATTTATATTATACTTTATTTATATTATACTTTATTCATATTATACTTTATTTATATTATACTTTATTCATATTATAGATTTATTTATATTATAC